GATGGTCCAAGAGGGCCTCGAGACGCCTGAAGATCGCTCCAAGACGCCCATGAAGGCCCTAAGACGATCCAAGAGGCCTCCAGGACGCCCCTAGAGGCCTCCTACGGGGGCCCCAAGAAGTGAAAAACATTGAGTCCCTTCAGCTTTTTGTGCGATTTTACCGCCCTCGTCTTTTCGGCTTCCCAACGCTCCAAGACGGCCCTAAAGGCCCCCAAGATCGGCCCAAGACGACCTCAAAGGCCACTAGAGGATCCCAAGACGGCTCCAAGAGGGGGCCCAGACGGGGGACTCGAACGGACATTTCGAGCCCTCGGCCCCGAGGGCCCCCCAGGAGGGTCCAAGAGGCCCGCTAAGAGGCCCCAAGACGCCCTCAACAAAAACCCTAAGAGGCCCCCCCTAAGAGGCCCCCAAAAAGCTCCAAAGAGGCTCCCAAGCTGCCCCCAAGAGGCCCCCGAGAGCGCTCCGAAGAGACCCCAAGAAGCATCCATGATAACTCTGACCCAGAACCCGGCCACGGTGGCGGGATAGGCCGAATGCCACTAGAAATCCGCCGCCCCCTGCTTGCAGGGGTGCACGGCGTGCTGGACGATTCAGGTTTTGGTTTTGGTTCTTTTTCTAAAAGAACTCCCCAGTGGGCTTCGGCCCGTCCCGCCGGCCACCCGTAATTTTCCCAAAATCCGTCTGTCAATGCCTTTGTTGCCCCAACTTGGCCCAAGATGGCCTCCAAGACGGCCAAGAGGGCCCAAGATGGCCTCCAAGATGCCTCCCAGACGGCCAAGATGGCCTCCAAGACGGGTAAGATGGCTCCAAGATGCCTCCAAGACGGCCCAAGATGCCCTCCAAGACGGCCAAGATGGCCCCAAGATGCCTCCAAGATGGCCCAAGAGGCCTCCAAGACGTTCTCCAGGAGAGCCCGAAGAGGCCAAAATCATTGGTTTTCCCTAGGTTTTTGAGGGTGTTTTGCGTTTTCTTCTTTTCGGCCTTCCGACGGCCCAAGAGGCCCCCAAGATCGCCCAAGAGGCCTCCAAGAAGGCCATATGACGGCCCAAGGGCCCCCCAAGACGGCCCCAAGAGCGCCCCAAGACGGCCCAAGAGGCCTCCAAGACGCCCAACATGGCCTCCAAGACGGCCCTGAAGCGCCCCACGAGGGCCCCAAGACGGCCCAGAGAGGCCCCCAAGACGGCTCCAGACGGCGTCAGACGGACCAGGAACGCCCTAAGACAGCCAAAGAGACCCCCAGGAAGCCCCCAAAGGCCCCCAAGAGGCCCAAGGAGGCCCCCAAGATGCCTCCAAGAGGCCTCGAAGAGGCCCCCAAGAAGCCCCCACCAGACCCCAAGGGTGCCCCAAGAGACTCCTAACAACCCTCATCCTCCTACTCTATTTCTTCCTCTTCCTCTTCCTGTTCATAATCATTCTCTCCCATGTGTTCCCCGAAAGCTTTCCAAACCGACTCGGGGAACTCATTGTCCGATAGCTTGGCCAAGCTCTAGTCCAACTTTCGGCCACATCGGCGTTTCCAAAAAGGCAGGGGGCGGCGGTGATTCGCCGTAGGCGTCTTCGATCCGCCGCCCCCTGCTCGCAAGGGTGCCAGGCGTGCCAAATCCTATCGGTTTTGGTTTTGGTTCTTTTTCCCAAAGAACTCTCCCAATGGGTTTCGGCCCGTCCCGCCGGGGTCCCGGGATTTTTTCCACTGACGCAATCTTCTGCCCCAGACGGCTCCGAGATGGCCTCCAAGATGGCCTCCAAGATGATCCAAGATAGCCTCCAAGTCCGCCGAAGATGGTCCAAGGCGGCCTCCAAGACGGCCCAAGAGAGTCCAAGAGGGCCCCAGACGGGCCAAGAGGCCCCCCAGAGGCCTCCCAGACGGCCCAAGAGGCCTCCAAGAGGTCCTCCAGGAGGGCCCGAAGAGGCCAAAACCATTGATGTTCCTTCGGTTTTTGAAGGATTTTGGAATTTGCTTCTTCTCGGCATTCCGACGGCTCCAGACGGCCCAAGAGGCCCCCAAGATCGCCCAAGAGGCCCCCAAGTGGGCCCTATGACGGCCCAAGTGGCCTCCAAGATGGCCCCAAGAGGGCCCCAAGACGGCCCAAGATGCCTCCAACACGCCCAAGATGGCCTCCAAGACGCCCAAGATGGCCTCCAAGACGGCCCCGAAGCGCCCCAAGAGGGTCCCCCGTTGGCCCAGAAGGCCCCCCAGACGGCTCCCGACGGCGTCAGACGTGCCAGGAACCCACCAAGATGGCCGAAGTTGGCTTCAAGCTGGCCCAAAAGGGCCCAAGAGGCCCCCAAGAGGGCCTCCAGGAAGGCCAGAAGAGGCAAAAAACATGAATTGTCCTGAGGTTTTTGACTGATTTTGTTATGTCCTTATTTTCGGCCTTCCGACGGCCCGAGACGGCCCAAGAGCCCCCAAGGATCGCCGAAAGACCGCCCAAGAGGCCTCCAAGACGGCCAAGATGACCTTCAAGACGCCCACGTGTTCCCCGAAGGCTTTCCAAACCGATTCGGGGAACACTCCAAGATGGCCTCCAAGATGGCCAAGATTGTCCAAGATAGCCTCCAAGATGGTCCAAGATGGCCTCCAAGTCCGCCCAGGATGGTCCAAGACGGCCTC